TATACATATATATATAATATATATATATATATATATATATATATATATATATATATATATATATATATACACATATACATATATATATACATACATATACATACATATACATACTTCTTTTGGAAATTTTTGTGCGGAGTATGAGGACAACTCGAGATAGGAGTCTACGTGTGTAGGAGAGGGATGTCGCGACGACCGGCACACGTCCTTGGAGGGAACAAACCTACATATGTCATCAAACACACCAGGAAAAACTCTTCTGAAAAGTAAAGAGATCACAACACTAACGTACACTTCAGATATCGGAATCATTCATATGACTGCCATTTATGACTATGGCAGAAGCCAACGGCTCACGTACCAGCCCGGAGTATATTTTTTCTAAAATCGCATACAAGGCTACAGAAGTCACTCTCAGAGCGCCCGGACAAACGTTCTAAAAATAGAACATCTACCTACCATCATAGAGTACACGTGGCTGGAGCAAGCCCCCACAAACCCCACGGCCAGTGCATTGAGCTGCGGATCGCCATAGTCGGTGAACTTGTTCAACGCCGAAAGAAGCGTACCTCCGGAGTATGCGGCACTGTTTTCTACCATGCCACACAAAAACGCCATTTCTCGCGCGGGCGTGTGGCACCACACATACAAGTGCTTGAGCGTGAATTGCCGCGTGTGGGTGTACGTGACTGTGGATGCGTGGGCCGTGGTGTTGTTGTTGTTGCTGTTCTGGCAGTCTTGAACGTACTCGTCTTGGAGCGTAGCGATGAGGTTGTAGTAGGTGCTCAGAGTCGTCTGCACCTTGTGCACCAGGCTCCGGTATACAATACCTGTGTGGAGTCAAGTGCAAAATATCAATGCCGATCATGCATTGCAGCTCAGCCCGAACTTCTGTGCATACCTGTACTCGGGTGATTGGGCGTGAGATATGCGCATGCTAGCACATATCAGGCTCTGTTGCACAATCCCTGCATGGACACACGTAGGTGGATTATCACTGCTGTCCATGTATGGCTATGATTAAACCAATTGAGGTTTTGGGTAAGTGTGCATTCGGTTGTACCTGCTTTTCTGTAACTTGCGCAATTGACTATGTTGTTCTTGATAATGTTCACGTGAATGGTTATTCGTGTGCGTGTGTGCACATGATAATGTGTACGTATATGACTATTCGTGTGCATGTGTATGTTGCTGTACGTGTGTGCACATGATAATGTGTACATATATGACTATTCGTGTGCATGTGTATGATGTACAAGTGTCAGTCTATACGTAAATGTTCAAAGGAGTCTATTCGTTTGTATCTTGTACATAGCAAGCTCAACAACCGATTAAACACACAATAAGAATGTAATTGTGTGTATACGTGTCTCCGTGTACCCTATCTGTATTTGTGCATGTGAACAAGTCTCGCGGTACCCGATATTTATTCGTGCATGCATAGTTGTTGGTGTTTTTGTGTCAGTATATGCGCCAGCATCAATAATAGAAACTATGTAGATGTGCACAATTATCACAACGTAGTCTTTCCTTGTGGTTGTGGCTACTATGGCGTGCCTATGTGCGTGTATGAGACTGTAAATAGCATGTACAACACAGAATAAAGAGTGTTGTGCAAGTGTGGGGCTGTTTGCACGTATGTGTTTGACATTTGTACGAGCGAGCATGGGTGGACGTGTGAACAGGTGAATGTGGATGTATAAACTACGAGATAATACTTCCACCTACAGTTCGCAAATATGAACTCAAACTGGCACAAGGGCGCTATACCACGCATAGTTGATAATCTAATGCGTCAGGCGTAGCACAAAACACAATTAACGAGCGCACAGCACCCCTGCGAGCGTCCATGTGTACACATACACAAGCGCGTAAATACATGCGCACACTTGTAAGCCTTTCCTCTCCGAGACCTCGTGCTTCATTGATATGTACATAATCAATCATATCCACACTAACTTAAGAGCACATCTACTTATTTTAGCATGATCTGCACTACAATGTCAATAATCTAGAAGTGGGCTAATCAGCTCCGCATTTATATATATATATATATATGGACATACAAACATGCGCACACATCCACGAGTTCAGAGTTGCACATGTAAACCATACCTACATGCACCCATGTGCATAACACTACATTGTGAACTTGATTTTTGTATATATATATGGACATAAAAACATGCGCACAGATCCACGAGTTCAAAGTTGCACATGTAAACCATACCTACATGCACCCGTGTGCATAACCGTACATTGTGGAACTTTGATTTTGTATATATATATATGGACATACAAACATGCGCACACATCCACGAGTTCAAAGTTGCACATGTAAACCATACCTACATGCACCCATGTGCATAACCGTACATTCTGGAACTTTGTCAATCACATACCATTCACGTGTATACACCTATAGATATATACACATACATTCACACATCAATATACACATAAACAATTCTCCTGTTCTCGAGTGAATTCGTCATCCATGTCTGACGCCTTGACGTCCATGACTGGCTGTCTAGTAAAGGTTTTATGATATCTCAAATGTCATCTAATTCTGTCGTATAAATTCCACGCGTATGCACTAATACATATACGTACACACACATACACACGTCAACGTACACATAGTCATGCACTAGTGCAGCAATTATAATTGACGCACCTGTGTTATGACCGGTTGCCGAATTCGAGTTGATGAAGGTCTCGAGATATTTGAAGCACAGTCCCACGGGAGCCATCTAATCATAGAGATAAAATAATCAATCTTAGTATCAAACCGTACACGGAAACGAAACCAAATTAAGCATTGTCTACTGTCGGATGTAATATGAAGTGGGACGAGATAGCCAAATAAAAATTTACACAGGGTTGTAACCTACATGGCAAACACGTATATGTAATTCCACAATACCATTGCTACTTACATTTGTTCGAATGAGGCGACGAGTGCGATTGTCTACTGCCGCATGGATGTCAACCCGGAAGTCACTTACTGACGGTGTGGTAGGTCTGAACGCAGATTAGAAGAAAATATGTTAGAAGGAACCGTACAATCCGGAGAATGGGTAGACATGGGGGGAAACACGGCACACATGTTTCCGATGTCATTGAATGAAGGTGATGCTGAATAAAATACAAATATCAGAGAAAATATAGTGTACGTCGAACGTCGACATGTGCAGTCCCTCATGTCATAAGTATGCACAAGCTCATAGTTGATGGGCGCTCCGCAATCTACGGTGCACCTCTGGTCAAAACATCAAATGACAAAACCAGTGATACAAAACACCTGAAACGCGAATCGTATAATCAGATGTTCATATTTACGAGCCCTTCGGGGCAAATGGACCAGTGTATGCTCGCACTCAGACTTGCCAGCACAACCGCAAAACCGCACGCAAGCACACATTACACACGGAAAGGACTATGTACAAGACCATCTGAACACACAAGTGCACACAAACCACGCTTACACACACACATACTAACAATAACATATATATATATGCAAAAACGTGCAAATACGTATGAATATGTATAAGAAATAGACACAAGCACAGCACACAGTACACAAAGGGGTAAGCTATGGCAAGCAATAGAGTCTTGATCGGCTTACAAGCGTGATATACACACACGTACTCCGGACTGTCTCCCATCAAATGATCGGTACCATCCTGCATCATATCGTCACTGTGCTGTTGCATGGCTGGCGGGTTACTGTCGACGAACTTTATGTACTCGCCATCGATCCCTTGCAGTAGGTAAATCACATCTCTTACCACGTCCTGCTCTGATATTGCGGGCTGAAAAGAGGTGCACATTAGCAAAACCATACAGGTATCTTCCAAGCTGTGTATCGAGCGAAGACATATCCAAAATCATTTTGCATGTCTCAGGGATGAGGGTATGTGTTCACAAATTAACAATCACAAGTACGCCTATGCATCTGCATGCAACTATTCCTTTCAAAGATGCTAAAGGGGAGACGTCTCATCAAATCAAATGCAATTTCGTGCAACCGACAAGAATCTTAAAATAAACATACATCATAAAAGTAGATATATTATATACGAGGATACATACACCCACACGCCCACGCACGTACGCACGCACCTATATACACATACATACACATAATACAAATAAACATGCGCATACATTTACATTCATATACGTACATACAAATACATATACATATACATAGAAATATACATACATACATACATATAGATATATTTTAAAATATATATATATATATACATACATACATACATACATATATATATATATGTATATATATATATATACGTGTATACTATACATACAATATATATATATATATAATAAACACACACACACACA